GACCAGCAGAGACCCCTGAATCCCACATCCCCACCAGCACTGGTATGGCCCAGTCTGCCGAGCACGGGAGACTGGGTGGGCATCGGGGTTCTAGACGGCTCCTGGCTTGGAGAGCTTTGAAACACTGAGGTTCCAGGACACTAGCATATGGTAAGAATTTTCTCAAGACTCCCCTCCATCAAATCCTGACACCTCCTCTTCCCTGGGAGGACCCAAGAGAGTAGAGTGGGCCTTGCCCCCTGGGCCTCCCGGGGTCTTTTAGTCCCCAGGGGTCTCTGCTTTCTTGACTGTCCACCCCAGCATCAGAGGCTGCAGGGGCAGCAGAGCAGCCTGGGGGACGCCCCACACAGTGCCCCCAGGCCTGAGTCCCACAAGGTTATTTAGCATTGGCCCCCGGGTACCTGGCTGTCAGGAACCAAACACCTGTCTCGGGAGTTCTGTTTGGCTATCAGCCTTCAAGAGCTCCCTCCCTTCCCTCTATCACACGCACAGAATGCTCAACCCACCACCCCTACCCGGCCCATCCCTCAGGAGGCCAGAGCGGGCAGCTGAGCCATCCTCCTCTCACAGAAAGGTGCTGAGGAGCCTGTGGGGCAGATGTCATGCCCCTTTGCCCCCTCCCATAACCTCAGCTACTCCAGGCCAGCTTTCTGCAAAGACCCAGAGCCACTCCTGAAGTCCCCTCCCATCCAGAGTGTCTCTGTCATCTACCCACCACCCCGAGATCCCAATGTGATCTGTGCCCTTGGGCTGACCCTGACATCCTGGACAGACTTAAGTCCCCTCTTTTTCCCACCTCAGAGGGGTGACAGAACTGTCTGAGGAGGATCCTAAGCACTGGTCCTAAGCTACAGGGGCTTAAGATGAATCTGTTCGATAAGCGCTTCAGAGCCTGTGGTCCCTTGTACCCCGCATCAATGTGGGGTGGACTTCATGCACCTGGATGGGACTCCCTCTCCCCCGGGGGTGACATCTATGGACTCTGAACTTCAACCAGGTCTGTTTGGGACAAGAGAGGACACTGAGGTCCACAGCAGGAGATCCTGTGTTGATGGGGTGGCCTCTGTCCCCACAAAGCATGGCCAAGCCATTCTGATTGTGAGGGCCCCTGAAAGATTGAGCTTTCTAGGGCAGAATTCCTCCTCTTTCTTTTACTCTTTGTCCAGGTGTCTTGTGGGCTATATCCTTCAGACAGGCAGGAAGGATGAGGGCTTTGACCCCTTCCATGATAGAGCCCAGTAGAGGGAAGTGGTTTGAGTGAAACGCTGAGCTAAGCAGATTTAGGAGTATTTGAATCAGCCCAAGAGCAGCTGATAGGGACAGGGCGGGTAATGAAGATGTCTAGACGGAGGATGTGAGTGGGGGAAAACTCAGCAGAAGGACCAGTGATGATTACACTCAGGGGTAGGGCAGGGGCGAGGTGGCCAGGGGTGGAGTGAGGACACTACGACACAGCTGAGCTAGGAGCGGAATCCCAGGGCTACGGGAGAAGTCTCCACCACAGAAGTTTTCAGTGCAGTTATTTAAAGGGGATGGTGAGAAACCCAGGCAGCAGTGAAACTCCAGGATCTGAGAGTTTAAATGAAAAAGAGACATAGAGACCAGAGTTTTTGAACAGTTCCTGAGGGTTTCAGGGTCTGCCGGAGCTGTGGGTCCAAAGTCCAGAGCAGAATCTATGGAAAAGTTTGGGAGCCGGGTTACAGAGGATCAGAGAGAGGAAAGGGGCTGACCAGGAAGGAAAAATAGAAGTGGTATTTATTCTTAACAGGGCCAAAGGAGCGGAGGACCAGGGCCTGAGAAGGATGAGGGCATCTGCCCAACTTTCTGGGCCTCAGACCAAGGGAAGAGATAAAAAGAGCAGCACATTGGGAGAGGGAGACATGAGGTCTAGAGACCGTGTGACAGTGCTGGCCAAGTGGGGGACTTCCGAGTTGTGCCCAAGAAAGCTCTGAGGAGGCGGCAGTTAGTAAGCATGGGGGAGGAAGTCCCAGCTGTGGTGTCTTGGCCATCGATAATAATAAAGCTAATACTTACGTATCAGAAACGGTATGCCCTTTACAGGAGCCAGAGTGGCCGAGAGAAACCTACTTCAGACCATGTCGTGCTCTGCTCAGCCTATGCAACGACCCAGGAGGCATCTCTGTCTCCCTCACTCACTCCATAGAACAGAGGCTCCAAAAGGGCAGGGGGCATTAGACAAAATCGACTTTTTGTTTGCTGCTTAATCCTGGCATGTAGAGTTGCTCACGGAGCATTTGCTGAATTTAGGCCAATCTGTGAAAGTGTTATTATTTTCACTTGATAGGCTGGAAATGGGGGTTCCCAGAAGGTCTGTGATTTGTTCAAGGTCACACAATGCCTGAGTCCTGGAACCAGAGTGTGACTCAGCACTGTCGGACTCCACAGTCTAGCTAACGAGTTCCCAGAAAATAGGGGGTATCTGAAGAACAGGCCAGCCTGGGGAACCCCAAGAACCAGGGTCTGTGGGGGTGGGTCTCCTGGAGGGGAAGTTTCAGGTAAAGGCAGCTGTCATCTACACCGGCCTGCATTGAAGGGACCGGGTACAGAGTTGAATGCGGGGAGGTCTTGTCCAGCTTAGACATCTGTCTTCTCTCCCTACCATCGGACTTCTTTCAGTTCCATTTGGTGATATTCTGCCACACACACATACACACACAGGCCTCTAACGGAATCAAGCCTTTCACCACACCCTCAATCTGACGCCCCAGCCGGGGAAGTGGGGGCAGGGACTGTCTCACCATTGGGAGTGAGAAGCCTGGACACGTATCTCTGTCAAAGCTCCCAGGACTGTGGAGGCCACATCTCCCTGTTTCCCATGTGCCCCAGGGGGAAACTGGAAGCGATCTCAGTTTAATAAAATGTTATTTGTTGGACTAGAAAATATAGCTGTGCTTGTGCTTCACCATAAGCATCAGGATGCACGGGGACCTTCCATTTTGGAAGGGTGTGAGTGATGCTCTCTGCCTATGCCATGTCTGGCCCAAAGTGGTTCTTGGCTCTGGTTCCCCTAGTATGGAGAAGGTAGGTCCCCAGTCAAGCAGAGCCCCTGAATAGCCTCCATCCCTGGAGCCTCACACCTAAACTGTGGGCACAGTAACATCATCTCTTTACAGACAGAGAATGAGACACACAGGACTGGCCTAAGGTCACTTAACTTGAACACAACAGAGACAGATGCAAGCTCAAGTATGGTGTGCCTATCCCTTCAACACAGCCCTGCACAGTTCTTAATGAAGTTCAGAGTCTCTACGGGTAGGACCTCACCTGAGCAAGGGGGACAGTGTGTGGGGCTGGCAGAATGCAGAATCCTAGTCTCATGATCCCTCAGACCATGTGGGGGGCATTTGACAATAAAAGAAGGTTCTTCTTGACTATCGTTCCAGCTATATTTTCTAGTCCAACAAATAACATTTTCTATTAAGCATTAACAGCCTCCAGTGACAAAGGTTCCCATCTTCAGTTAAACAGCAGTTTCATTTTTAAAGAAATACAAAACAATCTACCTATCTACCCTTCCCCATTGACACTTCAAATTTTAAAAATATGAAATGGTGAAATACTCAGCAGATACAAATAGTAAAATATTTATATATAATTATATTTCCATTTCATATTAGGGCTACAAGGAGTGAAGAAGAGGGGGAGAGAGGCAGAAGTAAAAAGGCATCTGGCAATGAGTGATGCTACAGATCCGGGGTAAAGACCAAGCCAGATTTTCCTAGAGGGAGGGAGAGGTTAAGGGAAGGTCAAAGTATTTGTTATAAACATGGGCTCTAAAGGGCAAATCGTACTTTCTAGAACTTACATATTTTAGTCGTTATCTAAACTTTAATCAGTTAACTTGGAAATGTTCTTCATTAAAAAAATTTTTTATTGAAAATTACTATAGCAACCAATGAAAATAAGAGTGGTCCCTGAGTAAGTTGAATCCAGTGGGAATCAGACATTAAAACCATAAGTGAAACCAGCGAAGACGGACTTCTCCTCCTGGGTCGGTAACCCGACCCAGGAGGAGAAGCTTTCCAAGGAAGGTGATGCTGAAACAAAATTTGAAGCATAGAATATTCCACGAGAAGGAACAGGGCGTGTGAGGGTTGAGGCCCGCCAGCTAGACCCACTTAACAACGGAATAACGTCCAGAACGGCAGACGGTCAAGGTAGCGGTGAGTGAAGAGGCGGGACAGGCGAGCATGGCGCTGACGGAGAGGCCTTGAGCGACCAGGGAGGGGAGCTGCGGCAGGCAGGTGTGGGGGTTGAGAATTAGAAAGGGGCAGAGTAGCCTGAGGATCCCTATCTGCAGGCTCGTCCAGGATGCGGTGTCGGGGTCCGGGCGCCAGCGGTTGGGGGCTGGGGCGGCCTCGGATCTTATCCGTCGCCCCACCGCGCGCCCGTCAGAGGCTCGGCTGATGGCCTGGGTCTGCACGGATCTGAGCTCCCGGAGGGCGCGGACTGGGAAATTCCCGGGCCCGACTGAGCACTGAAGCGTGGTGGGGGGCTGGGGCTGTCGCATGACTATTTTGCAGGTCCAGAAGGCCGAAGGACCCCAGCCGTCCGTCCAGGCCCCTGCTCTGTCTGGCGGCTCCCCGGAGGTCACGCGCTGCAGGGGCCCCAGTCCGGCCTGAAGCTGAGCCCGGGCCCGCGGTCTCCGGGTCAGTGCGGG